TGGACTTGGTGTCCTGTGCGAGCGGACTGTCGACTAGGGCGCCCTTTGAGATCAGGAGCTTCACAGCCTCCACATGTTGAGCTGCGATGGCCGCACACAGCAATGTCCGTTGCTCGGGCAACCACACCTCATTAGTCAAGTGGGGGAATTTGTCGAGCAACGGCCCGATTCCACTGACATCATTCACACGCAACTTGTGAAAGCACTGGCGTATCGTTGGATATGCTTTCAGTCTGAGGTCAAGTTCACTGAGGCAACCGAAATCGAAGTCCTTCAGCTCACCTTTCTCACTGACACCAAGCCAGCAAAAGAACTCCTGGATATTTTGGTAAATCCGTGCATTCTGCTCCGAGAGCACCTGCTGATCGAAGTCAAACTGGGAGTTCTGTTCTTCAAGCCATGATTTGAAGCAAGCCTCCAGCCGTCGCTTACACTCTAGGACCTCTTCCTCGTCAATAACCGTCATATCATCCAAATAATCAAGATGGTGACGCTGCAGGATTTCTTCAATGATTCTCCTTGGCTTGTCAACAGCGGCAGCGTCATCAGCTTCAACGGCAGTGTGCTGCGCCTTCAACGTAGAAGGCCCGCCACACGCATCTTTGAATTGGATGAACTTGTCATTGATGGGCTTTCGCAGGCGCTTCAATCCAGACATTATCTTTTTGGCATCTCCAGGTTGAAGATCCCGGTTATATCGCAAGCTTTTGTAGAGTTCCTCATCTTCTTCTTTGCGAAGATCTTGCAAGGTATTGATTTCCAGATCTTCGAAGTGCGACAGAACTGCATGAGGTCCCTTCACCTCACACTCCCTGCAGAATCTTCGCAAGCCTTCATCCACATCCTCAACCATTGCTCTATGACTCTATGACATATTAGGCCTGCCAAACTGGCAAGGCCTTGAGCTGAGCCGCCCAAAGCCAATGGGAGTCAAACTGCAAGTTCATCTTATGAACCATCAAAACCCAACCAATCTGAAGTGGAAACCAGTGTGACAACATCTTACCTTTTGGGCGGCAAGTCGCTCTCTCCTGTTGCGCCATGGAACCTCACTGCGCGCACCCCAACTCACGGAATTGCGCGGAATTCTGCCGCGGTGACTGCCTGAGAACGAAAAAGGGCCATGCTACTGCGAACACAGGCTGCAAGTTCTTGCGTGGAGAACTTAAATCATTGAGAAGCAAACTGCCGTGCACCAGATGCTGCTTACAGCTTGCAGATTGCATGACTGCCGTGGGACGAGCCACTTTCGATGGTAACATCATGCCAAGCTTGATAAGTCATTGGGGGACTCGAGGAGTTGTTTCTTTCTTTTTTCTCCTCACGAGCGCCCAACCATTCAAAGGAATCAAGCTTCAGCTGCACCTAAGAAAGAGTTCAGTCCAATGTTTGATGATATTGAGCATCAGGTAAAAGAGTATATACCACACAGCAACAGTTGTGCTCCCGACGAGCCTGCCCGTAGGCGTCCTCCGGCAAACGCAAGCTCACCTCTAGTATTGACATCAGAAGCAAAGTTGAACACAACTTCACAGCGAACCTATTTACAGCAAAAAGGCTGGAGAAATCAAAAAGCAATGTGCGCAATAGTAACTGTATGCATGCAAAGCCGTATTGTGTAAGCTGGCCCTCCCCTCCACCCTCCGAATCTAAAGATCAACTGCAAGACGGTTCTACCTGTACACCGCATGCCAGCCAAAGCTGGTTGAAAAAAGACAATGCAAAACGGATACCTGGATACCTATGTACCCCAGTCCTGTCCCGGAATCAAGCACATAGGTTCGATAGAAAAAAAGAGCAGGTTCAGAGTTCAGTGGGGTTCCGAACAGCAATTGCCTGCTTCGTGCACAGCCGTTTTGCCAAAATCGAACCTGACGAATCACTTCGGGCTCTGAAAAGTTTGCCACATGTATAGCCGTGTGCTATGGAGCATCGCGCTTTTGACAAATGCCATAACGTCTGTACAGCACAAATCCCCCCCATTCGGGGAGGAAGGTGTGTTCGGCATCCCTTCGCTGCAGAATCCTCAGCCAGAAGCAGGCCAAACATCCTGGTAATGCTTCCCCACCCGATGGTGAGATTCTGATCCAGTTCTCTCCCAGCGCACTTTCACCTCGCCATCAACAGGTTGTCTGATGCAAATTCCTTGATCCTCCTCCTTTACCTCAACTGATTCTCCATGAAGAGCCTTGAACGAGGGCCCACGGACCACCTTGCTTCCAACTTCGGGAACTGTGGTGACACCTTGGCAATACTTGCAAACTGTGTACTCATGACTCTTGCACCTGAGTGCCCCAAAACCTCTCAGGAGATCAACTTTGCACACACTGCACTTCGATTTTCTGCCACACACTTGAAAGTCCTGCAACGGACATCCTTCAAAACAATACCTGACTGCACCTGATGGGATGACCTCCAAATCCCAAAACCATGTATCATTGTCAACTGTCACCTCAACAGAATCTCTCCAGTGATTCTTCACGACGCCCACGCGGCCACAATGCTTCCGCATCTGAGGCGACCACTCAATACGCATGTAACGTAGTCGTGGGTCCCCTTCTGCTGGAAGCGTGATCTTGGAGCCTACCTTGACATGCTCTGCACCATGGCTGATGGGGTTGCGCGGCCGTATTGAGGTTGCATGAGGTTGGAGGGCAGACCCTTGGGGTTGTGATTTGAACTCTTTGCACTCCTCCCCTTCTGCTTTGAATGGCACTCTTTGAGTGGCACCACGGTCCGCTTCTCGCTGCCAGGTTTGGAGCTCCACCCGGGCGTTGCTTAGACGTTCCTCAAGCTCTACGATGCACTGCTCTTTTTTTGCGAGCATTTCCTGTAACTTCCTGCATTCACAGCCTTCCTTCCGGCGCTCGTCCGGCAGGTCCTTTTTCAAGTGTGGGTCACTCCAAGAAGCCGCTGGCATCTCTTGCTGGGCCATCCGGGACATCTCCTTTCTCTTCAACTCCTGCTGACACCCTAGCAAATCTTCCTGGATTTGATGATTCTCCTGGCTCTTCTCTTCCAGCTGTCTCGCAGCATCCTCCAGCCGCTGTCTCTGAGAATGGATTTCCAACAGAAACCGGCGCTGTTCTTCATGCATTTTCTCCATCTCTTCCTGATGCACCTGGTCCTTCTCCTGCCCTTGTTGCAGGAGGTGATGGTTCTGTCTAGCCAGTGTCGCACTCTCCTCTCTGAGTCGTTTCACTTTTTGACGCAAGGAGTCAAGCTCTTCCGGTTCACGCAAATCTGCGATGCATGTCCTGGCAGCATGTGGGCCAGCTCCTCGTTGCTCTGCTCGCTCTAAAAGCCATGATTTGAGACAGTCCTCCAGCCTTCGTTTGCACTCTATGGCCTCCTCCTCACGAATAATTGTCACGGTGTCGAGGTAGTCAAAATGGTGACGCTGCAGGATGTCTTCGATAATTTTCCTTGGCTTGTCCACAGCTGCACTGTCGGCAACTTCGACGGCAGCTTGCTGGGCTTTCAACATCGAAGGCACGCCACATGTCTTGTCTTCCTTGGGCTTTCTCAGACGCTCCAATCCAGACATGACCTTTTTGGCATCTCCTCGTTCAAGATCTCGATTGTATCGCAAGCTTTTGTGGAGCTCCTCATCTTCTTCTTTGCGAAGATCCTCCAAGCAATAGATCTCTCGCTCCTCGAAGTGTGACAAGACTGCTTGAGGTCCCTTCACCTCACACGCCTCACAGAATTGTCGTAGGCTTTCGCCCCCATCCTCCATTACATGGCAGTGTTGGTAGAGATGTGGTCCATGTCTGATGTGCCATGTGATCACAGCTGCCTACAAATGGATATATAGACACAATAATTCAATCTACGAGTCTACGAGGGTTAAATACCAAATATAATACTGGCATTCATTGAAGAGCGGAAGGGCTGTTGTACTCTGCAATTCGGAAAGTCTTTAGTCTACAGTATAGTCTAGATAACTGAGGTTCGACGAGGTGTTGCAAAACGATCAAAATAGTGTGCACATGTTTGCCTGTTCACGATGCGGTTGCTCAAGGACAAATTCTGAATGCTCAATGCTTTCACGGAAAGCTGTAGGACTGCGGGTTCTTCCGTTTTGATCCTCACAAGAATGAATAGGTTTGCCACAAGGATCGAGCAAAACGGCGAGAGCAAGATTGAAATAGTTCAGACAAGTGGGACTCCAGGATTACCAGAAGGATCTTAGGGCAAGACCCCTAATCCCTCAACATCGAAGAGTGATCGCCATCCACCTGAGAATCCGTCGGAGAGGACAATGCACAACACCCTCCTACACCTCTCTGTCTCTCTGTCTTTCTCACTTCCTCCCCTCTCTGTCCATATTGAGAACTGTAGGCAAAACGGCAAAACATTGAGCCGCCCTGCGCAGCATCATCAACATATAAACTCTAGAACAAATGCCACACTCCAAACACATTTCATCTGGCATCTGGCTGCAGATTCTAGCCTGCCAATCACCAATGACCTGAGGCAAAATTATGGGTGAAGCCACTCCGAAACAAGCATGGCCCTGTTCAATCTCAAGGACCACGCCATCCTGAACCCCACACACATGCCATGCTTTTTTTTTGGTTGAAGTTGGAGTGCTGGTTGGTTCTTTCAAAGTTTGGCTGAGCTCCGCGCACTCAGAAAGTGGAAGCGTGGCGCTTCCCCCTACTTCACTGCAAGGCTTAACGTCACTGGTTGTCAGCAACCTGTGGCAGCTGAAAGGCTTCTTATCCAAGTTGAGCATCCCTGCAAGTGCACTGAAAGATAGATGAGATGCAATCACTAGTGATTTGAGAAAGAGCACCATTTGCCCACCTGAGAGCAGCATGGTCTGGGAGCCTGGCCTGCAAGACTGGACTGGAAAGGCATGTGACCTCAAGAAGCTTCATTGCAACCGCGATGGAGTGAGCACAACAAGGCAATCGCAAAGAGGTGTGTGTGTGTGTGTCTCTGTTTGTCTGTCTGTCCGTCTGTCGATGCACATTGTTCGGCCATTTCTTCCGGCCTTCTACGAGTCGCATGCTTCAAACAGCTTGCTCTGCTCTGTGAAACATGTGGCCGCTGCGAATCAAATTGCAAAGTCCTTGGCCACTGCCGACCGCCCACGTGGCAGTCTCTAGCCCACACTGGCAGCCAAGTCCCACCACTGCAGCCCGACTCATGGGGAGGTGTGGGGATACGGTATGCACTTTCTGCTCGGTTGTCCAAACCCTGATTGAGGCTTTTGTCGGGCACCCATGCTTCCCCATCTACACGACCCAGGACCTTGGATTGAACATGCATAGGTTGATTACACAGAATTGTTCGCAATGCGCAAGGTACTGCTTTGTCAGTGTGATGTCGTTGGGCTCTGCCACACCTATACAACTGGGCCTGTCTTCACCCACACGAACACGTATTTCCTCATTGCAACCAGCACGATCACCTTTCCAGTTCTGGCAATCAGCGTGCTTCTGCCCAGAACTGAGCCTTGAAAATGATCTGCACCGGTTGCACTAACTGAACCTTCAGGACACTCTCATCGTTCACACTGAAGGTTGCTGACCAGGCGCCCCCCTGGTCCCACACAGCGTTGCCCCTGTGGGCTTTAATGCGGTCATGAACTCCTTTCCAAAACGACGCGCGCCGGTGCTGCTGCCGAAATCTCAACTGATAGTAAGGCCCAGACGCTGGTGGCCGTCCTTGGTGCCCATCCGTGCCCATCTGCTCTTTGATGTCGCCTGGGTGCCCAGCGAAGTCGGTCTCGGCTCTGTGCCGCAAAACTTGCAGAATGACTTCATTGATGATGGTGCGATCCGTGCTGCTGAAGCCATCAAAGCGGACCATGTAAAAGTAGAGCTCCAGGGCAAAGGGCCGCTGGATTTTCAAGAACACACTGCGACCTTTGGAAAATGATACCCAACCCTTCAAGTCAGGTTGAGTTGGATCAGCGGCACACGCTTTCACCAACAAGAAGGTGTCCCCATCCTGGTGACTTTCTTCTAAGATTTCCAGCCTGTAGCCCTTCTGCTGCAGCCCTGCCACCTCTGCCACCTCTTTCCGCATACTATGATCCAGTAGAGGGTGGCTCTTGGGAGCTTCAGAACTCAAGCCATAGATCTGCGGCCTCCTCGCATGACTCTGCTCCCAATGCAGGAAAAGCTCCATGGTCATCTTGGCGTCCGCCACTGAGTCATGGGCTTCGAGCAAACGTCGAAAGGTGCAGTGGAACGCTTCGGCCAAACGAACTTGGTTGTCCCATTTCCGGCTGCGATAGAAATCCTGCAGCTCCACCACATGGCATGTGATGGAATGGGCTGACCAATATGGAACCAAACTGTCATTCACATCCAGCGAGACCTTTCGCCGCCCGGCCTCAAGATCTGCAGCAGCCTTGGTAAAGCCTAGCGCTGCCATGTCATTCGCCAATGCCCAACCCACCAAAGCTGCTCTCTCTCCCGTTTTGGTTGGTTCAACCAACTGGCGAACGAGAGCCGTGATGCTATTTAATTCCATGCCTAAAGACCAGTTGGATTCAATGTTGCTGGCATTTCGAGCAAATGAATCATCTACAACCACAGCCCCCCGTGGTGTGCGAATTCGACAGTACAACATGGTCTCCAAATGGCGGTCGACAATGCCCACTGACACTGGAACCTTGTGTTGCACCATCTCACCGTGTTCATTCTTGAGCTCCACAGTGACAAATTCGCAATCAAAGGCGTAAGCTTGACAACCTTGACCAAGCTCATTCTCTTCAAGGTCGTTCTGCCCTTGCGCCTGTGCAGCCGGAAACTGTGCTCTTGGTCCTCCACTTGACGCGGCTGCATGCTGGGTGGGTGGAGGCTGGCCCAGTCCGCGCCCAGCAGTTTCAACTTGGGAGCTGGCCGAGTGCAAAAAGTGACAACTGGTCCCTTCTCGACATTGGCCAGCGGCTGCAAACTGGCACGGGATGCCCTTTCTTCCATCCGAGTGAGGATTGTGGCACCGAGAGCCCCGGCGACATGTCCCGGCCAAATGAAACTCGCAGAGCGGCCGTGCTGGAGTCGAAGGTCCACTTTGCTTAGCAAGTGGCAAGTCGCCTAAACAACCACCGGTTAGGGCAGAGACCACCTGCATGGTGCATGATCAATTTGCATACAATAAATTTACGGATTTGAGCTTCGCGGCTACCCTACGTCTTGCATCCGAGTGGTGGCATCTCCTAAACGAAAAGCAGCAGCTTCAGGAAATGTCCAGGCAGCTCCGAACAACATGGGCTATTGTCAAGAAAAAGCTCGCCCGCAACCCTTTCCATCTTCCTATTGCAAGCGAGTGCAAGCGCTGAGCACCAGGCATCAGCCATCGTCTATAATCAGGACACCTCAGAGCGGTTCGCAGAAGCGCAGACTTGCGGAATGCAAGATGTCATCTATTTCAGAATTCAAGAATACCAAATAGCATCAAATAAATTCAAATAACATCTATCGATATCTACCAGTGTGTACTATACTTTAATAGGGGGGGCCCCCAACCAATGGGTTTTGGTCCATTGTCATTCTTACATCTTCTTACAGTTTACAGGGGGGTCGAACTGGAAAATCTCCCTAGTTTAATACACACACGTATCAAGTGATGCGATGAAAACAAACCGCACCTTCAGAGACGTGCGGCTTCTCTTCCACACGCGCCCTTGCGCCATCTGGCCCTTTCCCTGAACCTCAGGATGGGGAACGCTACCTCATTGGAACTTGACTTACAGTATATACATAAACCCTTTGTTGCTGCTGCTGTTGTGGTGGTGGTTATTTGCACGTTGTTTCTCCGAGGGCCTGACAATCACATTCAAAGTCACCACTTGCACACTATATAATAAATGAAAGAAGCAGCGCGAAGCGAGGATACACTATGGGACCATGGGACATCCCTATGCTGATGCCCTGGTCCAAACAAAAGATCCCACACGCATGATCCTCGCTCCAACTGATGCGTGCATTCGTTGCATGACGTCAACTCCTGCCGACGCACTCCTGGGGCCAGCACAGTCGGCGCCCACCAGCCCACCAGCCATCGCGACCGGCGCTCTCTGTGGATGCCATTACTTGACTATCCCACAGACAGTAGCATGCAAAAAGTACTACAATACTGCTAAAAAATGCGATAGCTGCCTGCAGTTACGAGTTTGCGTCAGCAGTTTGCAAGTTGTCCCCAGCCAAATGTCAAAGACGCCATCTCTTCAGTCAAGGGCTTTCGCCTGTTGAAAGCCGCGTCATCTTTCAATTTTGGCATGGTTTGGCACTATTCTGACAATTCTCTCAAAATGACATGTCTGCTCGCCGAGTGTCATGTGCTTGAAACATATGCACCCAATACATGTGCAAAACACGAGGATACGTGTGGAGCCTCTGGCCATTGTCCTCATCAAACCTATATATGATAAGCAAGATCTTGGAGCACCTTTTGGCCACCTGCGCACAGCCTTCGTGATCTTCCTGACTTCTGCCACTACCTTCTTCAGATGGTGCGAAGCCAAGGCCACAACAACAGTCATCGACCTCCGGCGTTCGGAGAGTGGTCCAGCTGGGTGGGCGCGACGCCGCGTCTGCCACATGCGACGCCATTCGTAGTCCTCTGTTCTGATGATTCAACTGAAGTATGAGTCACATCTCCAACAAATAACAAAAGACTCTGGATGACTCTGGATGTCCTGCCCCCCACCCAACAACTTCAAAGATGATGCAATTGCAACTATGCTTAATTATCTGAACTTCAGATCTGCACTATCCTGAGTGATCATGGGACTTTTGCCCGCAATCCACTGCAGAACTAACAAGGTATTGTACCATGTTCGCACATGGTCTAGCAGCCAGCAGCTTCTGAACAATTTCCATCACACCCAAGCACAGCCACAAAAGGCATGGCCATGCACAACACCAAAAAAATATGACCCCTTGTCCAAACATAAAAGACAACTGGCACCAACTTGCAGAAGCTGCATCAGTTGAGGCTGGGGATGTCTCCATCTTTCATTCATTCGTTGTCGTTGTAGTTGTTTGGATCCCTTCGTAGTGGATTTCCGCATGGAAAAGCACATGGATGGGATTACCGAATTCTGGCTCAATCTGAACCCAAGCCCTCTTCACATTGTCTGTGAGTATGCGAATCTCGCGCTGGTAGTGGTGGGCCAAAGCATGCAACGTGATGTTGTCACCCCAGTCCCCCTCTGACATGCCCTTGATATACTCGTCCAATGCCCTCTCCAGCCCGTCATCTAGGACATTCTCTGTTAGAGTGGCCAGCGGAGAGCTTGCTGCTACCATTTTCAACTTGTATTCATCTCTGTGCTGTGTGATCCATTGGACCGCATTGGCACGCACAGTCTGATGGTCCTCGCCTACAGCAAATCCAACCGAATGGAATTGGCAGTGCCCATCGCTGGGGGACTTGCGCAGTGTCCAACCCTTGCCTCGCAAGATGCACCTTTGGAGTTGCGAAGGCTCAATGTGATCTGCACAGCTTCGAAGAACCAAGCTCTGCTGCTGCTCCACATAGCCATGGAACTGCAGCACAAACCTGGTCACAGGGCTTACATGTGGGAAAACAACGCGCAACGCTTCAAACGGTCTCTCTTGAATCTTCAAACCCCCAGACCCCGAATCAAGGACCGCTTTGTCACGGCACCTGGATCTCACTTCCACCGACATCTCGAAGCTTTCCCCAAGCACTGCAAGGAGAAGTGGCTCAAGAATCTCGCCCATCATGTTGGAATCGTCCCAAGCCAAGGCCACACGCTCAGCATCACTGCTCCGAATCGTCACTCCTTACCGTTCCGGGCGCTCAAAACATCCGTAGCTAGCTCTGGTTGGCTGCTTCTTGGCACTGTCACTCCCGCCGCAGAATCCTGCTGAATTACCTCTACACTAAACTCGGCAAATGCCCGCCGCAGTTATTTGTTTCTAAAAACCTCTTTACCCCCACATGCAGTTGCTCAGTTGGGCTTTACACAGTGTCAGTTGATCTGTGACCAGTCCAACAAACGAAGTCCACAAACAGAGTAGAGCCAGCTACTCAAGAAGCACTTGCACTGTGGCTGCCCCGCGCACAGAATACAAGGATCTGCCGTGAAGCCAGAATCAAGAAGCTAAAGCAGCTGTGCAAAAAAATAAATGTCAGAGCTATATACATGGGGGTTCGGGCAATGCACAAATGTGTCTTCAAAAGTCTAAAAGCCTTGCTGCGGAGTTGCTATCAAATTACAAGATAGTTAAAGCAAAAGAACATGCAAACAACTGGATTGAGTCGCCAACAAGGAGGCCAATACTTAAAGAACAAGAACAAACGATGAGAGGGGCTGTAGTGCAAGTAGAAAAGGGCTGCCACTAAACACCCGAGGTAGGAAACTGAAAACTAGTATGAACAGGCCACGACCAGCATGCTCCAAAGATGCCAGCGGCAACACTGCGTGCTACATCCACTCAACAACAGTAGAACAAAAAGGTGATGTCAGAGCCCTGGAGTCAAGCACCTCATCCCGCCAATTCATGTCTACAAAGCAAACATAACTGCAGGAGATCGAACAAACATTGTGGTTTTGCAACTTCCAGAATTGAGCAGGTTCTATCTACATCTGTGCCCACAAACACACACAAGTTGCGCTTGCCGACAACCTGGGGGACTTGTGGCACCTGTTGTCTCCGTGAGGTATTGACGCGAGGAGTTGACGCAAGCCGCAAGCAGTGCTTCTCAACAAGGATCTCTGGACTTGATCCCGCCCATTGAAAATGACTGTGAATCTGCAACCAATGAGAAAGGTATTGCTCTAAAGCTGCTGCCATGGCTCCGGATTGGCTTGCGGGACTTGAGTGGGCACCCCCTGTTGGTCGTCGACTGTCAACAAACTTCTGAAGCACGTCGCGCATGAAATCAGAACCTTAGGTTCTGAGGCCGTCAAGGTGGCTGGATCCAAAGTAAGCATTTTTGCCTCGATCTATGTCTGGAATTGCTGCTAAAAACAAATATTGAATCTACCATGAAGACCAAAGAATCCCGGCCTTCTAGCCCATTGCCCATGGCATTGACCTGCCAAGAACAATGAAAATTGCACATGGAACCACTGAGACTGTCGCATGCAAACAACCCAGCTGAGGAGTGCGTCTTTGCGCCCCGGTCGCAAATGATGTGAAAACCTCTGGCCTGCTGCTCTTGTCGCTGACATTCGGCAATTGATCTGGCGCTGCCAGCTGCCTGGCACAATGAGGAAAGCTGTGATGCAGGAACTGGTCATCAACCATACACGAGCCTTCAGGCCCTCATTGATTCAGTGAGACCTCTGGTTGGTTTGACTCACACCCACGCGTGCCTCAACAGTCGCCCTCCGTCCTTCGTTCGCCTCCTGTGGAGGACTGATCACTTCCCACTCCTCTTCCTCCGATTCAAAGCCCTGCTCCTAAGGTGGGCCAATTCACGCGAAAGCGATGTGGCATGTAAGAGGCTCAGCTCAAGTATATTCGTGGGGTTGAACTAATACGCCGATCCGCCTCAAATATCATCTATCATCATCTATAAATCTATTTTCCAAGGGCTAATGGCTAATTGATAGCACTTGTGACCAAAAGGAAGGCGCTCCTTGTTCTGAGCACTGAATCGCTTTGCCTTTCGAGGACGTTTCCCACGACCAGCCTTTGGTTGTCGCCAGCCAGACTGGGCCAAACCCTTCGCCATGCCACCGGCTATGGCTGGGTCAGTGCAGGCAGCAAGGACAGGCTTGGGAGGTGCCAAGTAAGGTTCACGGATCTGAGACCACACAGAACGGTAGAGCTTCAAGGCTGTCATGACATGCCCCTGATTCCAATCATTCCAGTACTCCAAATCAAGTGGGACCGGCATGTCAAGGAGTGCTTTAGCTTCCTCCCCTTTGTCCACCCCAAGTTCTTCAAGCTCATCCAATACATCCATCTCCTTGACAAGCATGCACAAACGAGGGGCTTCTCGAGGTTGATCAAGATCAGGGATCGCCAGCGGCAAATCACTCGCCAAGTAAACAGTCCGAGCCACCAATCGACATACCATTGCAAGCGCTTGTGGGCACGTTTCCTTAAGCTTCTCCAAATCCTGTTTCAGGGAGGCTGGAGGATCCAAAGATTCCGTGTACTCCTCTCCGGTATCCCTCGTCTTGATGCTGACCCCTCTGATCATGGCAAGCATGTCTCTTGAAAGCAAGTGAAGAGCGACAAGCCCATTGAGAGGAACTGTGGCGATGTCTGGCAAGCCTGCCTTGGTGGCGCAGCGTCTCGGCAATTCACGCGCGCACACACACACACAAACATGCAAAGTCACAACACGCTTCGCACGTGTGTTTGTTTTGTGCCAGAATGACATTGCCTTTTGCCGTTGTCTTCGCGCAACTGTGACCCGCAACTCTGTGCACAAAAACGCGAACAGGCACAACTGAGCACCCCACAATGCGCATCAGCGCATCAGGGTGATGTTCACATTTGCGATCTTGGTGAGGCACCTTATCAACCAATGTGAAAACCTCCACGAACTCCTGGAGTGTCATGTCACTACGGAAGGCGTGCGCAGACTTAACTCCAAGAACAAGTGCGATGAGATCTCCTGTGATCTTGCTCACCTCCACTGCATGCGAGGCATCACGAAAGAAAGAGATCTCAAGATCTTCCGCTTTTTGAACTCCAATCGCTTCGCTGAGAGCAACTTGTTCCGCCAGCCGGCAGCCCTTAAGCCTGTTCAAAATTCGCACATCTACGATCCCATGGAAAATTCGATATGGGAAGGCATCATAGTCTTGGTGCAAATCCTTGTGGTCCTGGCAGCCAGGCACTCTCAAAGTCACATGTGCCATGTCATGTTGAATAGCATATCAATATATATATATACACCGCGGGGAGAATGACTGGCACAACTCGGAAAGAACGGGAGGGCGAGTAGATGGCACCTCGGGACACTTTTTTGGCCAAATTTCAGGGGGGGGTAGGTAGATGGCACAAGGTTTTTGATGGGTAGTGATTTTGGGACCGGGGCCACGAAAAAATAGATGGCACAAGGTTTCTTACGCTCCCGTGGGAAGTAGGATGGGTGTGCGTTCAGAATTGATGGCGCAAGCCATCCAGCCTTTTGATTTCCTGTGGATTCCTTTCTGTTTCCATTCATGGCTATGGTTTTCCTTTTGGTGCCTATTGATTTCCTGTTGAAACCATTTGACTTCCTGATGATTGCTATTGGTGTTCCTTGTTGTTCCTTTTGGTTTCCTTTTGATGTCCCAGTGAAGCCTTTCGATTTC